ACGTACGGCTCTCTTGAGAAATCCACGGGCCAGGTGGGGGCAACTCAAATGTCAAAAGCGAATTAACAGGCTGCAAGTTGAAAGGGACGCACACCAAGGGCTCTCCTGGCTCTTTGAACAGGCAGCTATTTTGGGTTACAAATTATAGCTTTGAAAGATGCGGCTGTTTGAAGTGAGGGCTTAATTACGCACACAGTTGAGAGTCTGTGGGGCTTGCTTTGGGGGCTCCGGATTTTACCATCTCTGCAAGAGGAGCTTAGAGTGAAAGCCTGGGATGGGACAGCAGTGGCCCAAGTCAGCTCTCCCCTGTGAGCATCCACCAAGTGGGCCAAGCAGCATTCCCTCAGTGGGGCACCTTCCAAAGGTGACATGAACTTTCCAGGAAGAGGCCACTGTGTGCTCAGAGAGGGCACACCCGAACATGGCTAACCACAGTCTACACCCCACCCCTTCTTTGCCACAGAAACCCTCAGGCCTTGCAAGGCCAAGCAGAGTGCCAATGTCCACCTCAAGCTAAAGGCCCAGACTCCCTCTGACCTGCCATTCTGGAGCAGACAGGTCAGGACCAGGCAGGCCAATGACAGGGCCCCTCTCCTCCTCCCCACCCCACGTAGTGCCCCCTGCCAGAGCCTGTTTTTATAACCTTCTGACACCTCCGTCAGCCTAGAGCCCCAGCAGCGCTCCAGGCAGGCGCTGTTCAGGTGTCCCTTTTGTCCTGCAGCCTTTGCCATCTCCAGCTACGCCGACTGCGTGTTCCAGCGGCTGCTGCCTTGCACCAAGGCTCACAGGAGCACAGCTGGACAGAGCTCAGCTTGGGGGCCGAGGGCCAGGGCTGCTGAGCCACCTCAGGCCCCTTCCCAGCCTCTTCCACAGTGGGGACAGGTGAGGGAGCACTAGGACTGACCACAAGCCACAGCTTAGGCTCAGAGGGTGGGAGGCCCCCAGGGCAAGTCCATCAAGACCCCCTCAGAGACCCTGTGGGCTCCCCACTGGCCACAGACCCAGGTCCTGGTGCCTCAGCCCAGCAAACACAGCCCTGTCCAGCCAATCTCGGCCTCAGGACAAGATCCTGCCACTCCCCCTCCCCTGGGACCCCAAGCTCCTGTCCAACTTTACCACCCACCACCACCCCCTCCCCATGCTTTGGCACATGCTGTTCCTTGTGCTGGAAACACAATTCCTCTCTGTGCCACAAACACCTGTCCCTAAACAAGCCCCCGTGAGAAAGCCACTGCATCTGGGAGGCCGATCCCCTCCCTCCACCCTTGACGCCCCCAGAACTGTGCTCCTCAAGCCCTAGGGCCTTCCCTGGGCGCACTGTCCCCAGTGAGCCCCTTCTCTGCTCCCGTGCCTCTCCCTGGGACACTGGGCCAGGCGGCACACGCCAGGCTGCGGCCTCATCCTTGTCTCCCCCGCCCCTTATATGCCATTTTAAGGAGAGAAGAACCACCCGCTGGGGAAACTTCCCATCCCAGCCCTGGCACAGCTAATCCACTGCTTCTCCCCGTCCCCGGCCTGGTAGCCTCGCCTCCTGGGGGTCCCAGAGGGGCCGCTGCACCAGCTGATGCAGGCTCTTTGTAAATGAAGTTCCGCCCCATCCACAGCCCTGTGGGTTGGCTTAATTCATTCCACCGCCTGGTACACGAAGGACTGAGGTTCAGCCTTGTCCCAGACACTAAACAGCACCTCCTTGAGGAGGGGGCTGTGAGCCCCTGTCGCTATACACAAAACTGAGGAAGCCGGGCTCCTGGCTTTCATCGGGATCTCGAGAGGAGCGAGGCAGAGAGAGACCTTGGATGAAAACAATGTTCACGACCCCCACCTGCTCTGACTCTCCCTCCAGCCAGCATCTCTCGCCGAGCCCCCCACGTGCCTGTCTCCTGTTGCCTCCAACTCAGCCCACTGCTCCCCCAGCCGTGCTCCTACCGTGGTGAGCAGCCCACCTTGTCCACCTCACCCCCACAGGTGCTAAGGTACTGCCCACCCCATTCCCTCCTGCTGCAGCCCAACCATCCTGCCCGACACATCCCACTCACACAGGTCGCTGTGCCTTCACCCACACTGTTCCCTGCCCACAACTCCTCTGTCCGTCTCAGGGCATTAACTTGGAGCAACATTGTCAGCTGGTGCTCCCAGAGCCCTTGGCACCTAAAAGAAACACAAGGTGGTCTTAAACATTTGGGGAAGACCAAGAAAGAATACATCTATCATGTGCCAGATGTATTTGTGCATCAGCTACTATTTAGATGAGAAGACTGGGGCTCAGAGAGGTTAAGTAACTAACAATAGGTCACAGAGCTAGCAGGACTGGAATTTGAACAAAGTCTGATTTTAATGCAGCAAGGAGGGTACAGAGAATACTAAATACTCTTGGCGATGGCAGTGTCCAACACTCGGCATTGGAGCAGCTTCTCAGCTTGATACCCGGAGGCCACAAGAGCAGGAATGAGCAAGGCTGGTGGGACCAGAACTTGGACTTGAGCTGAAGGTCGCAGGGACCACAGCACAGTAGACCACTGATTACTGTCAGCTGAGGCTCCAGGGGCCTGTGCCACCCTCGCCATGGGGCATAGCCCCCTCCCCTTTCCCAACACAGAGAGCTTCAAAGAGGCTACATGTGCGAAGGTTTTATAGAAAGGAAGAGGAGAGCGATTTGAAAGAAAATTGCTAAAAGGAAACACATGTGAAAATGAAAACTCAGGCAAAGTGGGAGGAGCAGGGAAGGAAAGAAAAGGTGATGTTCAAGGATTATAAACTGAGTCCAACAGTCCTGGTACGTTAACACCACAGTTTCCCTGTTACCTTGGGAAGGCCAGTGACCACTCCCTGCCTTCATTTTCCCTGTTAACCCAGGTGGAATGGAGCAGTGTGACCTTAAACGATACCCGGCAAGGAACAGGGGAAGGTGCCTTACACACAATTATGATGACTGTGGAGCCATGATCAGCATTTGGTGGAGGGACAACCTGAGACCCAGAGAGGTTGCTCTCCTTTTTGAAGGACACACAGCTGGTGAGCTATAAAGCTGGAATCTGGGACCAGGTCTCCCTGGAGTCCAAGCTCATTCACCTGAACCACACCACAGTGTCCCCTCATAAATCTTCCCACTACTACAAGGTGGCTTTACTCCCTTCCTTGAAGAAACTGGGCAAATTATGTAAGTTCTCTAGAGGTTACCTAGTTTCTGTGTTTCATTAAATCCGAGATGCCTTTGATTTTAAGATGCACTGTTATTTCGAGGACACCAAGAAAGAAACGGCACTGTCAATTAAATTACAACACACCAGAGAATGTACAACACACACCAATCCGAGATGTTAAAATGAGACAAGAAATAGTGTGTCTTCGAATCTGTATCGTACAGAGTAAATGGGGAGTGGGGTTCGGTCACAGTTCCTTAGACCGTGTGTGTGCATTGAAGGGTAGATGACAACTCCAGGCACGCACGTGTGTTACACACACACACACCTGCTGCTGTGAGCTTCTTTGCCAATAACCGATGCAATCTTGCAGATAATCTCACAAAAATGTGCTAGCCAGACGCGCCTTGTCAACAAGAACACTCGTTTCCCAGGAGGCCATCAATTCAAGGTCATTTAACATTGTCAGGCAGAGGCTGTCCCGACTACTCTCCACCTGACCAGCCAGGCTGGACAAACAGGTAGGTTCGCTCCTTGGAAAACTACCAAGAGCAGTCACCCAGAGTGGCCAGGTGGCTGCGCAGCCCGCACCTTTCAGTCTGGCTCTCCTCCAGATCTCCTGGGGCCTGTAGCCCGCCAGAGCCTCAGCACGTTAATAAGGCAGATCCTGTGGGCTGGCAGGGGCAGACGGGCAGCACTGCTCCAAGCTGGCTTTTCTGGCTGGGCGGAGGTGGACAGACGGCCCTAGCTGGAGGCGAGGGGCGGGTGGGCAGAGGTGCAGCCCCCCTCACCTTGGTAAACAGGCCACAGCCCAGCAGAGTGGGCTGCCTCTAGGAGGACCAGGGGCAGCCCCACACCAGGCCCAGGGGAGCTGGCTGTCACCTCGGACCATGCTTTGCATCTCATTCACAGATTGCCACGCGGGCGGGCACCAGTCAGCTCACTCCGGCCCCAGCGTCTGCATCTGCAGAGGCTGAGCTGGTTGATTTGAGCACACAGAAGCTGAGGAAGTGGGGCTGCACTGCTCCTGTCGAGGCCCTCCGGTGACAGGGCTCTTCCTCCTGCCACCTTCCTGCTTTAGTGCTGACGTCCTCTCCGCAAGACATTCTGTTAGGTTCTAAGGTTATCAGTCACATGAATCAACCCGGGAGAGGCGTGCGGAAACTGAAACTATCAGCTCACTCCTATGCCAGGCACTGTTTTAAGAGCTTTTCATACATTTACATATTTGATCCCCCTAACAACCTCATGAGGAAGGTCCTAGCACCATCCTTGTTCTACAGATGAGGAAATTGAGGCACAGAGAGGTTAAATAATTTGCCTAAGATTCCACAAACAGCAACTGGCAGAGCCAGGATTTGAACCCGGACAGCCTGACTACGGAGTCCACGCTCTTGGGCACTACACTGTCCCGCCTCTCTAGGCACCTAGCCAGCCATCAGGCGCCCACCGAGCACGTGTCAGAACGCACTCTGGGTATTTTAGGTCAAAGCGGCTCATTTTATCTTCACCATCACCCTATGAGGTAGATATTATTATCAATCCCATTCTACAGATGGAGAAACTGAGGCTCAGAAACGTGAGAGAGTTTGCCCAAAGTCCCACAGCTAGCAAGCAGCAGAGCCAGGATCTAGAACCATGTGTTTGCTGACTCCAAAACTTTATTTTCTGGGGCCGGCCCGGTGATGCAGTGGTTAAGTGCACACGTTCCGCTTTGGCGGCCCGGGATTCGCCAGTTCGGATCCCAGGTGAGGACATGGCACCGCTCAGAAAGTTATGCTATGGCAGGCGTCCCACATATAAAGTAGAGGAAGATGGGCACGGATGTTAGCTCAGGGCCAGTCTGCCTCAGCAAAAAGAGGAGGATTGGCAGCAGTTAGCTCAGGGCTAATCTTCCTCAAAAAAAAAAAAAAAAAGAATACAGGCATTGGGTGACAGCGTGAGCTGAAGGCTCTGTGTTTTGAGATGTGTATTTCTCCCAGGAAAACCAACGAGCAGGAAGCAGCTTGCTCCTGCTCTCCCTCCTATCCTACAGGGACAGCAGTCTGGGGCCAGAGCAGACCCCTCAGCTCTCCATCGCAGGTCCACGGCAGACAGCACGACTCTGGAAACATGGGTTCCCTCTTTATGGCGTTCAGCTTGCAGAGGCAGAGGCGGGGTGACGGGAGATGATTCAAGAGTGACAGAGCTCCCACCCCCTCTCCCACACGCCAGTTCTGTTTAGGCCTTCCTCTTTTCGATGCCTTAAAAGAGAAAGACTCCATGAGCAGAGCCACAGATATTAATAATAACTGCTGCAGTTTGGTTTTCATTTGAATCATGTTTACGTTGTTGGGAAAAAACCCACTTGTCTGGGAAGATGAAGCAGGTTGAACCAATTAAACATATGCCCAACAGTCAAAACTTCCCGTTTCTTGAAGGAAGTCAAGAAGCGCGGTTAGAACCGTTGGCGTTCCTAGTACCGGCCTGTCCAACGGAACTGGGGTTACAGGTCACCCGGATTCCACAGCTCTGGACCACTGAGGCTGCCACTGTGGACGCACATATTTCTGGTTGCCTACTTTCTCCTTCCTCTACACACACACACACACACACACACACACGCTTTGGGGGCCTAGGCGGGACACAGATTAGACCCAAAGCTGCTGCCCAGGTGTGTGAGAGCCTCTGCTGGGCTCCTCAGGAGACCAGGGCACAGGCCTGTGCTGCCACTGCCCACGGGCAGAGGGAGCAGAGCGGGACATCAGGGAGTCCAAGAAGGAGATGAGGAAAGAGAGCCCTTGGAGGGGCCAGCCAGCGCAGACAAGCACGGGCGACCGGCTCCTTTGTGGGTCTTGAGCGCTGGACTTGTCACACCCCTGGCAGCATCAACCTGTGGGAACAGGAGTGGCCCCCTGCCTGCTTAGACACAGCTCTGGGCACAGCCCCCCGGTGGCTTTTGCAGTATTGATTTGTGGGTAGAAACACAGTCTTGCAAGAACTGTTTCCACATTCATGTGGACGGGCTTATCTGACCCGGGCTCAGGGCAGGAAAGTCCACGGCAGCAACGGGCACACACAGACACCGCTCCCCAAGAAAGGCCTTAATGCCAAACCCCTCGACAGCAAAGGTCTGAATGGTGCAAAGCAATGACGTGCATTTTGTGCCTCTGGATTTCTAGTCTCTTCCCATTCTCCTGGGATTCTGGGCTGTTGCTTGGCAGCATTAGATGCCCCCCTATCTCGCTGAGCTTGTGCCCCCTGCCCCTTCACCTGGCTTACGGGCCATTCACAGCGGCCTCCCTGCAGTTCCACGGACACATCTCGCTGACCATGGCCCCATCTCAGGGCCTTTGCAGCTGCCTTTCCCTCTGCCTGTACCTCTTTTGTCAAGATGCCACCTTGCGAAGGTGAGGACTTCCCTGCCCACTCTATTTAAAAACGCAGCCCCCACCCAGCCCTCCCCACGCCTTGCTTTCTCTCTGGCCACCTTGCACGCTATTCGCCTGCCCCTCTGCCATCACTTGAGCTCCAAGTGTTGTCTGCTGTGTTCACAGCTGTATCTCCAGTGCCCAGCACAGAATCTAGCACAAACTAGATGCTCAAGTACTTGTTGAATGAGTGAATTCAGCCAGCACTTGCCCTGTACCAGGCAATGTGCTGAGTGGGGGCTGGGCAAACAGAAATGGGGAAGGGTCTGTGCCCTGGAATGCCATCTGATGGAGGAGACTGCCGTGCCACATCCAGGAGAGCAGACCACACAATGTGCAGTAAGATGCGAGGTGGGCCTGCCAAATCAACATGCCCATCTCAGCCAGCCCTGGGGCAGGACCACTCACTAATCCACCTGGTGGACTGGGCAGTAGGAAGACCGGAGCGGTCCTCCTCATTCAAGAGGCCAGTGATTTGATGCCATCAATGCCGAGTTACTGAGTCAAGAGCCAGCAGAGGGGATGCAGAGGAAAACAGAGCCCAACCCCAGGGATCCTGCACGCCTGCCAAGGCCAAGTCACCGTGCCCAGTGCCAACACCAGGCAGCTGGCAGAGCAGATAAAGATGCTTCCTTTTCAAAACGCAATGAGCCCTGTGCCAGGGGACACAGCACAGGGCCAGAGCGTGGGCACGCTCTGCCCAGGCTGTCCCTCCCTCGTCTAAGGCCCAAAGTCTCTGAGATGCCTGCCTTCCAGAATTGCCCACCTGCTATTTTACTGGGAGTCTCTCCCACTCCCTCCACCTCCTCCCTACCCACACCTAAAATATATAAAGTGAAGCAAAATCAGGAAGCCCCTCAAAGCAGGCAGCCCACCTCCGAGGAGGGGCTGCAGCCCTAGGAAAGGAAGTTTCTAGCCACCTTGGTGGGGGGACAGGGGGAGGAGGAAGGTGAGAACTGTGAGGGCCCCAGGTGAACAGCTGAAGAGAAAGCCCTGGGTGTGGGGGCAGCTGGTCCCGCCAGCGGGGAAGTGGCTAGGAGGCCACCAAGGGCAAATGTGCTTCAGGGAGCAAAGGGAAGGAGGGAGGGAGAGTGGCCAGTGGAACAGGCACCAGGAAGTTCTCAAGCTGCAGCCCAGAGCCTCCCCAGTGTGGGCTGCCCAGGCCTCCTCATTTCTCCTCCCTTGCAGGACTAAGTGTCCTTTCTGTGAACAGGCTCCAGGCTGTCTCTCCTACTTGTCTTCCTTGGGGCAAAGGTTACACCTCCCGGCCTACTTACCTGGCCTGGCTAGTCCCGTCCCTCCCCCAGGCACACGCTGGCCTTAGTCACTCACCCCACCCTCTCCACCAAAGCCCAGGGTCCCCCAGATTACCAAGCTGTTCGCCAGTAGGCATTTGCCCAAGCTGTGCTGCCTGCTACCCAAGTCCCAAGTTCTCCACTGGCTTCTCGATTCCTCCAAGTGCCCCAACCTCGGTGAACTCACAGGGACCCCAGAGACAACCCAGAAGTTGGGCAGGGAATAATTTGACACAGGTTTTCAGTCTCCCCACGGCCTGCAAATGCCTTGAGGGCAGGAAAGTGTCCGTGTATAACAGTCCCTGGGCACATAATGAACCTTGCATGAATGCCAGCTCAGCACGGTAGGGTTTGGGCCAGTCTGTCTGGGACTGGTGCCCGGCAGATGACAAGACCCCAGATAATGGCAATGACTCAAGGACTCCACCAAGGCTGGGTAGATGGTTACAGAGAGGCGCCTACTGCTCAGGTGTGACATCCACACAGCTGGTAAACCTTTGAGGTTCATTCTTCCTCAAGCTGATAGTCACTGTAATCTGTTTCAGGAGGGAAGGACCTGGGGATGAGCCCACCTGCCCCCTTGCCAGGGGCCCAAGATGTGAGCACCTGCCTCCAGGAAGGGAGGCCAGAGGCTTGGATCTCTGGGCACCAGCCCAGGGGTTTGCCAGGCTGAGCACAGGAACCCAGCCCCCTCGAGCTCCTTTCAGGAAGAGGTCTATAAATAAGTCAGTCAAGGAACGGGCACGTCCCTCAGGCCCCAGTGATGTGAACCCTCCAGCCGTCTGTGGGAGAGCAGGGCTAGGGAAAAGGGGAAATGGGCAAAGAGGTACGCTGGAGGGTGTGCAGGATGAGAAGGAATAAAGGCCGGGCTGAGTAAGGACCAGGTTCCCATAGCACAGACGGGGTTCTCCAGAGACTGCTCCGCCAAGACCTCGGAGATACCTGTCGTCCGCAGAGAAGCGGCTGTGACAACAGCAACTACTACCGGGGCGGACCCGCCGGCTCTGGGGGCCCAGAAGGAGAAGGGCTGGGAGCCCGCGCACACCTCCGGCCTCAGCCGCATCTCGTCTGGGAAGGGGCAGGGCTCCGTCCCCAAGCCCCACACTAGGCTCGCCCTGCCTCTTGCCCGGCAGTGCCCCTGCGAGAGCCGAGGGAAGCCCGGGAACAGGCTCGGTGCAGCCGCCAAGAGCTGCGGAAAAACTTCGTCCGCGCGCAGCCCCCTTCGGGACTCGGCGGGGCCCACGGCTGGGAGCGGGGGCAACACCAGCCCGGGAGGGGCAGGTGCGCTGGGAGGGGAGGTGGGGAGTGGGGGTGGCGGGGTGTCCCAAGGGAGGCGTCCGGGCAAACGAGCCCCTTTCCCGGCCCACTAGGTCCCCCTAAAGCACTTTTTTTAACTGCGCCGAAGACAGGGGGCCACCTCTCCTCGCGCCCCGGGGCTAGGGCTGGCCACCCTCGCACCTGAGCGCAGGCAGAGGGCCCGGAGGGGGCGGCGGAGGCAGCGGCTTCTCCTCCGTGGCCGAGCGAGCCTGGACGCAGGTAAGCTGACCTCCCGGGCCGGGGCCGAGAGGGCGGACACTCCTGGGGCGGGAGCCGGCGCCCGGCCCGCCTGCGGACCAAGTTCCGCACTCCGGCAACTTCCCTGGCCCCGGGGCCGCGGGCCGGGCCAGGTGCGCGTCGCCGGAGCCCCGCGAGCCCGAGTCCCCGTCCGCAGCTTACCTGGCCCCCGTGGGCGGGCGGGGTGCGCATCCCCAGTCTGGCCGCGGTCGGTGCGCTGCGGAGGGGCAGGGAGGCAGCGGACAGCGCGGAGGGCTCAGGGACAGTCCCCTTCGCGCCGCGGCCGCTCGCACGGTTCGGCACCGCTCGAGAGTGCCGGCCCCACCCCCACCCGCGCCCGTTGCCGGGAGACCCGCGTGGGCCGAAGGGCTCTTTGTATCAAAGGCGCTGTGACATCACGAGGTGCCCGGGCTGGGGGATCGAGGGGGCGGGGCCTCGCGCGGGGGGCGGGGCCGGAGGAGGAGGAAGCGCGGCCTGGGAACCCGAGCCGCGGGGGGCGGGGCCCAGGTAACCCCGCCCCCGAAGGTAGGGGCAGGTGGCCGGGTGGCTCCCGCCAATGGCCACGCGGCCGCGGGGCGGGCCCGGGCGACCCGCAGGCGCCTCGGGAGGTGGAGCCCGCTTGGGCCCGCCGGAGCCCGCGTCGCCAGGTTCCTGCCCCCTCCCCCGGGCCCTGGGATTCCAGGACGGAGCCTGTGCGTTCACGTGCCTGCCTGCGGGCGCTGTCGCCGCCGCTGCTGTTTGCGGTCACCGCGCTGGGAGATTCCGGTCAGCGCTTCCAGCCTCACATTTGCGGACCCAAATGAAGACCCGCCAACCCCCTACCTCTCTCGCCCACCACCACCACCAGCCTGAGTCTAGTGGCTCCTAAATTGATTCTTATCCTGAATCCCACCTAAAAAAAAAAAAACAAAGAGGGAGGGACCCCTTCTGATGAATCTTAGTAGACACAATTTAAATTAAAAACGCGCCCCGCTCATAACTCTTCACTATGCTGCAGATTAAAACAAGGCAAAGATGTAAAGCAACAAATATTGCAAAATGTGGTTTCGCTGTAACTCGATGTTACATTGTGTAACTGGGGCGCCGCGGGGGGGTGGGGGGGGGAGGGAGGGCGGAGGTGGGAGGGAGGAGGGGGATGGGAATCAGATTTATCTTCCTAACTCTCTGGCTCAGGCCAACGTGAAGCCACTTTTACCTTCGCTGAGTCCTCAGGGACCAACAAGGTGGCACTTCTGTATGGGCAGGGCCCGTTGGCAGCTGGGTCTTTGGTCTCACACCAACTCACACACACCCAGCTTTTCAGCTTTTCTGCCCCCTTCTCTCTAGCTCTTTGCTCTCAACTTCCTTTTCCCCGATCTCTCTCCCACAGATAAATTCCCAGCCGCCCCTCTGTTTACCAGGGCCTGTCTCTGAGGCAAAGCATCCCACTGAGGGGCCCAGACCTACTGAGGACTCTCCAAAAGGGACAGCCTTAGCTAAAGGGGGTCTCCCGGCAAGGGCTGCATGTGAGGGGAGGCTGGAGCAGTGGGGGTGAGGTGCACTCTCCACCACCCCCGCCTGCTCCCTTCTGCTTACGCCTTGCAGTTCAGATCTGTGTGCAGAAGCCACAGACTTTTTCTCACCCCTGTTTCTGTCCCCCTCCACGGTCCCTAACACACAGGAGCACTGTGCTGTGTCATAAAGAGCACTGGCTTTCGAATTAGACAGACCTGGGTTTGAATCCTAGTTGTCAGCTGTGAGTCCTGGGACAAAATTATGTAATGTCTCTGAGACTCAGTGTCTTCATCTGTAAAATGGGAAGGGCACAGCCTACCTCGTGGGTTGTGCACCCTGGCACAGTGGGTATACTTAATTTTAGGCACTCATCAAAGGTGTGGTGTGTGAAGGAGCCCACACACCCTGGGCATTGTCTGCCTTCCCAGCTCCACCCCGAGACCTTCCTTAACTCAGCCGCCTCCCATGAGGTTTCAGGATGTGACTGAGTCCAGGGGTTCTATCTCTGTTTCCCCTCTTCCCTTCGGAGTCTCAGGGGCTCCAGAAAGCAGGTAATGTGACGGAATCACCCAGAATTGTAAACAGAAGCAGAAACCTAACATGATCATTGCTTCTCTTGGTCCTGGCTTTCTCCCCGGGAAGGTCAGTGGAGAAAGTCAGACCTGTCAAGTCCCCTTCCTGGGGCAGCCTGATGGACATTTTCAAGAGCTCTAAGGAGGGGGTGGTGCTGGTGGTCCCTCTTTATTTTTCTCGGAGATGGTGGTGTGGGGAGCACCTCCTGGTATTTGTCCTGAAAAGCAGCGTGACAGAGAGGAAGGTCAGAAGATGCTAACACTGATCCCTCCAGGCTGGAAGCCTTCCAAGTTCTATGACTCACCATGGGGAAGTCATCTAATGTTTGGGAGCCTCAGTTTCCACCTCTATACAATGGAGACAAGACCTTTCCTCTTCCAGTTGTGACATTTAAATGAAATGATAAAGCAAGTGTCCTGCGCAACGCCTCCCAGGCTGCAGGCCCTCGATAGATGGCAGCTCCTAGGTATTGCCAGCCGCGTGAACCAGCCCCGGGCTGACTCAGTGATGAGGTGGAGGAGCTCAGGGAATCATATCTTGGTGTCACACCTTGTAGCTGGATGACCCCAGGCAAGTTTAATTCCCAGTGTCTCAATTTCCTCATATGCAAATTGGAGATAATAGTAATATGTATTTTGGGATTACTGTGAGGATTAAAATAACCAGGACCCATAAAATACTTAGAACAGGGCCTGACACACAGCAGGTACTCAGTAAACAGTAGCCATTCTCAATTACCACAGGCAGGAGGCAGGAAGAGCTGAGGTGAGGGTTAGAACCTGGAGCAGCCTGTGGGAGAATTCAGGACACCAACTTTCGACTTTCGAGAGAGGCCCTGGCCTCTTCCAGAGGGTTCCGGGAAGCATTGATAGTCTGGGGGTCTGATTGGGTCTGAGATGGAATGTGGGAACTGATGGCTTGAGCCCAGTCTGCGGCTCTCGGAGGACTCAGTGTCCTTTGTTCAAATAGGGTCTGGAAGAGAGTTATTAGGAAATATCGTCCTGCCTCCTGAGCACAGCCCCACCTATGAGGTGGGGGGCGGGGGACTCCCGGCTACCCTGGTCCCTTAGCATAGCTGTGTTTTAGCTGTCATAGAATCAAACCATTTTTAAGCTGGAAAGACTCTCTGGGGAAGTATCTAAGGTACTCTCCCCCCGTTTTATGGATGAGAAGACTGAGGCTCAGAGAACACTAGGAATTTGTCCAAAGCCACACAGTAAGATGTTGGACGAGCAGGGACTGAAACTCAGGCTCCTGACCGCCATTGCAGGGCCCTCTCCTGCCCGCCGTGAGTGGGATGCTTTGTGATGGGGTAAGACAGGCAGGGGATGAGGGTGGGGAGTGGGCTCCTTGCGAGGGCTTGCCCAGCACTGGGAGTCTCCTAAGGGGCCTGACTTTCTTTTTCAGGTGAAAGAACAATCTCATTAAAAGCAGAAACCCTCTCCCAGGGATTGTATCCAAGAATAATTTTCAGACGGCAAGTCACTCTAATTCTTTTACGTCATGAAATGGATTCTGCCATTGTTGATATGAGAACACTCCCCTGACATTGAACGTCAAAGCCAGAGAGAAGCAGGTGGAATGTTGACGAGCAGGACTTACCATTCTCTGGAAACTGATGGGGGCGGAAAACACGTATCATTGGGGTGATCCAGGTGAGGGAAGAGAACAGCACGTTCTCTCTATACTACAGCTGTCGACCTCTGTCCACTTTCCTTCTGCTGTCACCATGCAGGAGTTAGCTCAACATCAGACGGTGCAAAGAGGCGACGTTTTGTTCATGTTGGGGGCCATGTGGAAGGACTGGCTAGGCATGCATAGCATCATTATAATAGGAAAAGAGCTCTCTGAACATTATCCAGTGTTAACATTAGCCAAGCAGCTGATGCCAACCAACATTAGCCAAGTGAACAAACGGAGAACAGCTAAACAAATACTATCAGAACTGAAAAAAGGGCAGCAGGTCCAGTGGTTCTCAAACTGGGTTCCTTGGAACCCTCAGGGGGTTCTGTGGAGACCCTGCAAAAGGGTGGGGGTGCTCCGGGCACGAAATAGAACAGCTCCACTTCTGTCTGTTTTACATGTAGACCTTCACATCAGATTTCATGTGAACAAAGGATTCTGTGACTTTAGAGGTGTTTCAAATCACTGGTCTAGTATAACTACTCATTTCCCAAACAAGGAAGCAAGCCCAGAGGTGGGAAATGGCTTCTGTCCTCACAGGTGCACAGTCAGTTAGTGGTAGGACCAGGATTAGAGCCAGGTCCCCCAACAATCTGTCTAGTGCTCTCCAAGACGGACATCAGTCATTAACCGGGACTGTCAATGTCCGTCAAACATGGTCACACTCTGGACATGATTTCTGCCCAAACACAGTATCACCAACTACTGTTCTTGGTGTGGAAAAGCCCTCCACGCAGCTGGCTCAGACTCTGCCACAAACACTTGCCTTCTCTCCCCTCCTCTTTAGAGGTCCCTTGACTCCACAGTCAGAAAGCATCAGCCCTGACTGGTAAGTCTCAGCTTTCTATCCCAGGGGACAAACTCAACCTTTGATGATGTAAGCAGTGGCGACAGAAAGGGAAGCAAGTATAAGCAGGTAGGCAGGGCCCTGGGATTGCAGAGGCCACCCAACCCCAGGGAAAGTCATTCCCAATTTCCCAGTTAGAGAAAATGGGAGCAACGCCTGAATTTCAGGGCCCTTCAGCGCCAGCAGGCGCTTGTCCAGGAGCCTGCGCTGGGCCTGGGAAGAGGAGGGCATCTGTGATGACTCCTTCCTCTGGAAAGCTGTGGGTTGGACAAGACATTGCTAAGGTCCCTTCCCATTTCCAACCCTGGGTTAGTCCAGGAACAGATCTTGGACCCAGGTGGGTGCCCTAGAAATGTGAGCCCCTTTCCACTGGCAAACGCCTCTGCGTTGGTGATTGTCCCTCAGCAGTCTGCACCCGGGGCTGGGTTCCCTTGTAATGTCTGGCTGGATGCTGTGCAGACAGGGCAGAACCAGGTCTTATTGGTTCAGTGTTCAGAGAGGCCAAGCTCTATTTTTGTCAACCTGTGCACACATGAACAATGGGTTTTCTTACTCATGCGAACCCAACAAGAGGGGAAATTGGTGAGAAAACCTGCATTTCCTCTGACTCATTCAATCCTCTAAGAGGAGGAGGTGGCAGGGGAGGAGGAAGCCGAACAAGGTCTTCTTTTGACTTGGACCGGGTGAGGACAAGGAGGAAAAACTTCCCTTTCCTTAACTCTTGGTAACATCAGGCGACTACAAGCCCAGGAGATGATAAACAACTCTCCTCTCCTACAAATGCGGCCCCCGCCCTCCCCACCTCCTCCTGGACCAGGCAGCCCATCTCTGACTTTTAGGAGTAGACAGCAAAGCAGAGGTTCCCAAACTGCACTGCATGCTGGATTCACCTGGAGACCTTAAAAAATGTCAATGCTCAGGTCGTACCCCATAGAAAACTGAATCCAACTGTCTAGGGTGGAGCCAGGTGTTAGCAGTTTTTAAAGATCCCCAGGTGAGGGGGCCGGCCCAGGGGCACAGGGGTTAAGTGCGCACGTTCCGCTTCGGCGGCTCTGAGTTCCCCGGTTGGGATCCCGGGTGCGGACATGGCACCACTTGGCAAGCCATGCTGTGGCAGGCGTCCCACATATAAAGTAGAGGAAGATGGGCACGGATGTTAGCTCAGGGCCAGTCTTCCTCAGCAAAAAGAGGAGGATTGGCAGCAGATGTTAGCTCAGGGCTAATCTTCCTAAAAAAAAAAAATCCCCAGGTGATCCCAGTGCAGCAAAGTATGGGAATGCTTTGCCAAAGGCTTGCTGACTAGTGGGACTTGGCGTGATCGCAGGTAAGGGCATCATTTATTCATTCATTCATTCATTCACCCATCTTTAATGAAGATTGTCTCTGCGCCAAACCCTGTGCAAGGTGTTGAGATACAGCTGTGATGAA